GTAGCGGAGGAGAATGATAAGAGATGACATCAGATATGTAAGTAAGGACAGATTAGGCAAAGTTATGTGAGTCAATGGAAGCATTTGATTCTAAGTAAAATAGGAAGCCACTAAAGCAATTTAATCAAGGGAATTATCTGATTTACATTTTAAAATGTCCTTTATCTTCTGAGAACAGAGTCATGGTTCACAGTAGGATGGCTACTCTAGGTCAAGGAAACCAGACCTCCTTTGGACTGAGGGCCCTGCAACAGCCATCTGACTGAACTCGGTGGCAATGCCTCACCCCAAGCCCATCCATCACAAGGTAAGACTAACAGCAACACACTTTCAGGCACAAGGAGATGTTCTGGGTCATTCCTGCCCCTTCAATCCACGTCATTTTATGAAATAAAGCACAAACAATGCAAGAAAATGCAGTTATACATACTATCTAGCTGGACTACAACAGAAGTTACACTCTAATAGACATCAATAAAATCCTGAAGAAAGGTACAGTGGAGAGAGCAGGACTGTAATAATTCCTAGTTTGTAGCATTTGGCAATCAAACTGAAAAGTAGTAAGTCTATTTGTACTGACTATAAATGAGAAATATAATGGATTGTTGCCCAGCATGGAAAAAATGCTTTGTCACATACAATATTTCTGATTGTCCTTGTTTACAACATAAAGTGATTCATATTTCCTAACATGTATTTAAAAGACACATTTTTATGGGCATTAGTCTTGCAAATGATCTTTTGATTGGTCATGAATTCTCAACAAGCTGAGGCAGCAGAGCAAAAACAAACACCCAAGGGGTAATAAATCTGTGAAGGCCAGTTCTGATGAGAGGAAAAGGAGCATAGTGATAACTATGTATAAGACATTTCTCAAAGCTATGTAACTTGATTTTTTACAAAAACTAACAGTGAAGTTCTACACATTATTAAATATGGAGACTCCGAGATATTACAATCTTATCCACTGTTACAAAATATCATAGAACTATTGCTGTAATCTTTACCTGCATATAGACCCCGAGTTCTCTCCATAGTACCAGGCAAGGTCAAAGTCAGCAATAAAGTAATTGGATGTTACATTCAGTGTCAGTGAAGCAGAGGAGTCTCTGGAGAAACTGGCATTAAATGAGCCTATGTGTCCTTCCTAGTGACCTCTCATTTCCATAACTGCTGGCCCTAACCAGGTGTCAAGATAAGACTCCTGTGAATGAGGCAATTTGTACATGGTGTCTCATTGTCTTTATTAGATCTTTTTTCAAATCATGATGCCTTCATGTTTCCTTTGTTTTCATGGTATTTTTATTTTTGCTCATAAAATTACCATTTTCTATTCTCAAATGCTTTATTGTCATTGAAGTGGAAATGATTCATGGTGAAAGACAAATTTGAAAGTTATATTCTTTTATGAGGATTAGAGATCTACATCATTAAAATTCATCTCATTCTCTCTCTCTCTCTTTTTTTTTTTTTATAAAATCAGTTAGTAGATAAGGTTAAACTGTAGAGAAGCAGGTGGGTCTCAGGGGCTGTAATGAATTTTCACAGAACGTTCTAGGGTGCTGAAAGTACAATGTGGTACACAAATCACACCGTCAGAACTCTCCTGCCCTATGTCCTACTTCTTTCCTAGCCTTTCAAACAGACTTTGTCCCTTTGCCATTTTAAAATGTCTTTTGTCATCCAGCCTACTGGAAATTCATTCTTTTTACTTATTGGAAACCTACTCATCTTCACACCAACTCTTTACATGGACACTGTTTTTAGAACTAAAAGCATACTAGCATTGAGTATGTTTTGTATTAAAACTTTCAAAACACAAAAACAAATGAAACAATTTTGATAGCAATGTGATCCTATCATCAAAATTACCATTTCCAATATGCCTTGCTTTGTCCTGGAGTGTTGTTACTCATTCCAACTCTTTCTCTCAAGATTCCTATTCTACTGTTCTTTAAATTTCTCCAGTATACTATGATAATATTGCAATCATACTTATTCAGTTACTCCTTTAGGAAGCCTTTGTTTGGCGTATACACTCTGTCAGATACCATACTTCATTCCTGAGTGGAAAATGACATGTCTAGATACAATCTAATTCCTATGCTTTCTAATAAAAAAAATCTAAGTCACTAACTTAATAACATGCACTTGTTAAGTCAATTCTGTCTCAAAATAAACTAACCCCCTTAGGATAAAAAAAAAATCATTATGATCAAGCATATAACCAGTATAAAGCCCAAGGTATATCAAAAACTTGTCTTATAAATTTCATATTAAAATTAACTTCAATTATATAGGCTAGAACCCTATCAATAAATATGTCATTTAGTTATTAATATTCATTTTATATTATTTCATTATATTCTGGTCAATTTTAATTAAATATATAGAACAAAACCAAATTTTAATTGGTATTATAGTTTATAATCTGACCATGCAGAAATTAAGTCTGATTTATGTTAATGAAGTTTCTGAACAGGACAAAATAAAGAATTCTCTGATTAGACAAAATCAAAAGATAGACAGTAACAGTGAAACAGGTAACATTTTAACTGAGAGTGAGTAACCTATGACAACCATTCTTTTAACAGTAGCTAACAGATAAAATTGGTGAAAAACATTGCTCCAGGAGTGAAACGATGTCTAAAGTTCTTGGATAAGAAAAGTAGGAGTCGGGTGATAAGACACTTGAATTCTTCTTTGCAAGATAAGTTCTTATAATTTCTTACACTTTTATTCAGATCAAACAAAAAGAAATAAGTAACTCTCAATACTAAGAAATTCATTTAAATACCATATTCAAATCAATCATTGACATATAGAAGCATAATACACCAAGTTACAACACACAAAGTTAAGTATCTCTTAGATGAAACTTGGATTAATTTCATATCTTCTTTGTACAAAGTTATGTATATAATATTGTCTGCAAAACAAATTCTGTTTAGCAAAAAGAATATTATTTATTTGTGTTTTCCAAAAGGGCCTATTTTTCCTTTTGGGATTTCTTCGTTTTTCTTTTAATTTTTTCTGGTTCTTTATATGAATTTTCTAATATACTAGGTTCTCTTTACATAGCCTAAGTATATATCTATATTTTCCATCTTTTTTCATATCTCTATATTCTCTCACATTAGACTGCTTGCTAAAGATAGGAATCATTTCATCCTCATCTTTCTTGCCCCAACTCAAACATACAGAACATATGCCCAATAAATTCTTCTTGATAACAGTATAAAAGTATCAAAAATAGTTAATAAAAATGGTTCTTGTAACCAATGTTAAACATTAAGTACTATAAAAAAAAAAAAAGCAAAAGTAAGCATGCTTTTGCCATTTGACATTATTAGATGAGCTACTGATCACATATCAGTGATAAGAGAACATGCCTATAGGAAAGCTTTTACTTCATGACTTCTGACAACCTACAGTGAAGGAGTTTCTAAATGTTTTGTAGAAAAAGTTTCAACAATACAGATCCCTTTTCCTCTATAGACTTTTCAATGTTCTCAAAGTTGTAAGCTGTCACCAATGTGCATAGATCACCTAGATGTTAATCTGAGGTGGCATGTTAATTCCCTTAAACACTTCATGTAAATTGGTAAAAGCAGTCCAAAACAATACATGGAAACACGAGTATGAATCTTTTATCTAGAAGAGCTGCATGTCCTGCCATTTTCCGTACTCGTGTCTATGCACTCCAGGCTTCGGTTCCCATCCATTCATTCGTGTTCTATCCCTCCTAGGGTGCTAAGCTCTGTACTCATATCAACAACACCTCTATCACACTCCTGGACTCCCTTTGTCTCTCTCACAAAACAAGTTCTCTATATTAAACCCATCTCTATTCTTACTGACTCTGCTTCTTCTATTCACCCTCAGAATAGAATTGCTCATTCTTCCACACTTTCTCAAAAATCAGAGTGGCAAAAGGAATTTTTAGAATTTTCTTTTTCTCTATAGCCACTTTCAGGTCACTGGGTCTTTAAACTTAGAAAAGTCACCGATACAATAATCCCTGTGAATTCAGTGTCTTAGTTGTCTACCTCTTACATTCAATGGCTATTCTGACAACTCTACCATAATGACCTACACCACAGTGACAGCCTTAATCTCAACTGTTTCAATTGTTTCAGAATCCCTGTGAATCCATATCCATCTTGATCTCCTTGGCTTCATTGTGTTTCATTCCCAGTTCATTTCCATCACGTCTCCCAGATCCAGCCCCTGAATTTGTCATTATCCCAGGATGATTCTGAAATCTTCAACTCCAGTGCCCATTTTTTATTCCAATTTCTTCTTTTTCAAGTCTATCACTTGTTAGTCCAAAGTATCTATTCAAACACCTTCAAAATCATCTTCCTGAACTCTTATATTTCTTCCCATGTCACTTCCTTTGTATCCCATTTCCACTCCCTTCTTTTTATTTCCTGGTTCTCATTTCTATCAATCTAGCTGTTCTCTGTGTCTACCCCATTGCTAACAGATGAGCAAAATCCATTTTCCAAAGGGGAGAAAAACCACAGAGGCCATCAACTCAAAGTTCAAGCTAACAGCTGCATCTTTCTTTATTCTTCTTCCCTCTTACAATCATAAATAAGATGAACCTGGTCATTCCTAAAGCTGCTCACTCACCAGTGTTACCAATTTTAGCACCCTGACCTCATCAACCAAGTTGCTTCATCATTTATCCATAAACTGCATTTTGAGTCATTGTCTTATTATAGTTCTTTTCAGAGAAAAACATAGCAGCTTACTCAGTTCTCTGTTTTAAAAAATAATAAAAAGCTTTTAATGTTGTTGCTTACGTTAGGATATCATCCTGTCTCTCTTTACTACTATAATCTGGCTTTGGGAATGAGTAATCCATCCTTGCTGTTGCCTCTTCCTAGACTCTTACTCATCAGACCACAACTTTTGAGACTAGTCCATTGACACTGCCCTGACAAAAGCAAGCAGTAACTCTTGTTTCTAAGTCCACTGACACATCTTGTCTTATCTCTCAGCCTCTCTTGATGAATTTGTGTATCATCCTCACACAGGGCCTATACTAATCTTCTCTGTATTGTTCGAATTTTAGTATATATGCTGCTGAAGCGAGCATTCTCTCAGCCTCTCTAATACTATTCTAGCATACAGCATGCATTGACATCTACATCCTTCCTTACCCTTACTCCTCTTATCACGATTATTGTTTCCCCCAAAATTCTATCGTAGTGCTCTTTACATTCGATAGACTCTCATAGAAGGGATAGACTTCATTTTTCTCATAATCATCTTTCCAAAATATGCATAGAATTATTCTTGGTCCAAAGCCCTTGACTTATGTTCCAACTAACCGTTGTACATTTCTAACTAGTTATCAAACCTGACATGTCCAGATATAAATATGTCTCTCAAGCAAATTCCGTTCCCTAAATCCCCACCTCTCAACAAACAAAAGCACCACTGTCCCATAAGCAGCACAAAGGGTAAACATGGGGGTCATCACTCATCACCCTACATCAACCTATTCTCCTTATAATCGTTAGAATCTGATTTTCTCATTTTCCGACCACTACCACCATATCTTCCTGTCAGCTTAATTTCATTGCTACCTATAATTATTTATAAAAAGATATCTAGACATATCATAGCTTGCTAAAAATCCTGAACAAGCTAATTAGTCTTTTAAAACAAGTAAACTAACAGACTAATATGACATATACAAATCTATGTAGCCTGGCTTTCACTTTTTCTTTCACCATATAACAACCATCTCAAGCATTAATCACATTTAAGATTTTCCATGTCCCTTTATTCTAGATTGATTCCCACTTCTGCTCTTAAAATATGCTGTACTTATTAGATCAGAACATGAATTGCCATGTAATGTGTAATTAATTGCATCTTGACCTTCCTGTCATCTAAAAAGTGAGCTCTGTGAGGGCATTGGCTATATCTACAATTTATATTTCCATTATTTAACACAATTAGAAGCAGAGGGAAGGCAATTAAGAAATGTTTGGCAAATACATGATGTGAATTGATGTTTGGTGAGCAACTAAATGAGATGGCATTTTTCTTACATAAACTCTCCAATGTTAAAAAGAAAATTTAACAAAAAATGGGGGAAAAATCCTAAAGGAAAAGAGTAAGCATACTAATGGATAAGGAAAGAACAGATTCTTCTCCACTTCCAGTGGTTCAAATTGCCACGGTGGCAATTATCATGATATTGTTGTACTCATTATATATGTCAGCCTTTGCCCCTGAACCCTAAAGACTTACATCACAGAATTCTGTTTAAATTCTGAGCATAATCAAAGAATGAACTGCGAGAAGTATGAAATATTTCTTCATCTCACTCAACATTAAGAATAGTCTGTAATATGTTGAAAGGATAAAGCCATTTTGCAACTCAATTCCTCATGAAAATTCACCCTAGAGACTTTCTGGATCAGTAAAAACAGAATATCCCCTTTTCACTGGATTTCTCCACAGGAAAAAATAAAGCTGGTTTAAAGAGAAAGATTTCTAATGTTTACAGAAATCTTCGTTTGAAAAGTAAAGTAGCAGAAAAAATAAATTAAATTAAATACAATCTAATAGTCTAACATTAAAAAGTTGTATGGCAAGGACAACTTTTATATCAATGTATGTGTGTCCAAGTACTACATCTATGAACATGGAGCCAAGAGGTCTATGATTTCAAGCCCTTGCCTTGGGAAAATCCCATAAATTTTCAAAATTCCAATCTACATGTGCAAAAATATGGACCTCCCACCAGCCTTACATACAGAACAACTAAATTCTAAAACTAAAGCATTTATTTTAATGCATACTTTTAATGTATTATTGATTTATATATGTCTATGATACAGTTTTACACAAAAGAGCCAAAATCCATCCTACTAGATCTTACATTCTTGTGAGAAAGACAAAATGAAATAAAAAACTAGATGGACTGGAACCTTCAAGAGTTAAGAAGAAAATGCCAGAATAAAGGGATACAGAAAAACAATACAGCCTAATAACTGTTGAGAAAGGTAGACAAAAGATGAAAAAAGCGCAAAAAAAGCCCAAAACCAGATTTCAGAGAGAAGAACTGAGATAAGACGATACGTTGTGTTAACATCTGTAGAAAAAATATTCCAGGAAGAGGAGCTATAACAGGCAGGCTATGAGGTAGTCATGTGCACACACACACTTAAAGTTTATTTTTAGCCTCTCTATTCTGGGTTTGAACAGTCTTATATTTCTTATTTCTTTTGATAGCAACAAGAAAGCCAGTAACAAACAAAATCTCAAGAGACCCACATAAATCATAGCTTTTACAAACTTTTAAAACAGTCAAACTTTCATTTAAATGCAAGCTTTGCGTTTCAACACAGAAGAAGCACATTATCAACTCAGAGAACAACAATAACAAAGCCACAAATATCATCATAGGATTGGAATATGAAACTACAAATGAAAAATAAATTAGCTCATATACTCACAGAAATTATACAGAAAACTAGAAGGATAAAGAAAACACACATTTTTTTATTTGTTAAACAACAGCCCAGGTAGGATTACTGGAGGAGTTGAATGAACAAATTCATTAAGAATGTTTGATTCCTTGAGATCTCAAAAAGATTTGGCAGAAATGAAGCTAGACAAATACTATTTCTGCAGAAGGAGAATGAGAGCTGCAGTGTTAGAATTTCTCATCGATGATCCTCTCCATTGTTCTTCCATCTTCCCTCCAAGAACTTCACCGACCATCTCTGCCTGCTTTTCCTCAGTTCCTTCGCTCTCCATTGTGCAAACATTACTCCCAAAGTCTGTTTTCTTCATCTCACATGTTTAATTCCTACATGTTTCTAATACATGTCTCCTCTATGTTTTTCTATGCTGATCTCTCAAACTCAGTATACTATCAACAAATTAATCTTGCCTCTAAATCTGCTTTACTTTAGACTCCACAATTTTGGTTTGGGACATTAAAAGTTTTAATTATTCATGCTGAAATTATCAGAGCCATGCTTGTGACCTCTCTTCTCACCTCTTCAACATCAGCCAATAAACAAACAACTCTTCCTGAATGTTACTTTGCTCCCGTCCCTGCCTCCTCCCTACCCTTCCACCCTTCCCTAGGTAACCTTTGTGTCCTCGCAACATGAGTTTCCCTCCAAATCATCCCCCTTTTATCTACTAAAGAGAGTGCTACCAGGGGATCTTCCAATGACCACGAACCAGGTTATTGCCCTCCTCAAAATTCTTCAAAAGCTTTTTATGGCTCAAGAGATGAAAGCTGGACTCCTGCACCTATTCAAGGCTCTCCATGTTGGAAAGCAAGTCCATTTCCACAATCGTTTTATCTTCCACTACTTCTTTTTACCACGCACTGTTCCAGCCTGAGAAATGGCTCAGTGTTTCCTGAAGAGCTCCCAGTACTTCTCTGCTGCTATCCTTCATGTCAGACATTCAGAGTTCCTCCTCCATATACACCTTTTAATGTCTCACTTCTATTTTAAAAACCAATTCAGAATGATTCTGAAAACAGATGTGATCTCTCTGGTTTCTCATTTTCAGTTAGGAAACTAACCATTTATGTAACTGTTCACTCAACCAGAGAGTATCTAGCAAATACATTCTATATGTAGTATTTTACCTCACTTTTTGGTTAGTTGTAGCTACTCTTTCATCCCAAATTTCCATGTTTTCCACTCATAATAAATTGCAAACTCAAATATCTTTGTCACTTTCTATTTTTTTGAGAACCTCCCACAATGGCCACCTTCTAGAGTATCAAGTACACATGTCTGCTGAACAAAGAAGTGATTGGTTCTATATTCTAAACAGGAAATATCATCTCAACTCTTTAAAAAAAACAGAGGAAGGGCAGCTATCCCATTATTCTCAATCATTCATTCAATTTTTCTTTGTCAAAATAATACATCCAGACAAAGCGTATAGTCTCCATGCAATTTGTTCTCCTTTCCCTCCATCAAGGTCTATTAGACTGTGGCTGGACAGAGGGCATGAGTCTACGGTTAGTATTAATATTGGCTAATTTGCAGGTCATATCTGGAAATGAAGGCAAACAATGGTGATACAAAGCCACGTTGTAAGTTTAGATGCCACATGATAGGCAGAAGTAAAAGGCCTTTGAACTCATCAGTTCCAGATGTTTACCTATCACAGGTGCATGAATTTCTGAAGAAGCCACCTCTGATTACCAAGTCTTAGAGCTATTTAATTGCTAACCTATAACACAAGAATCGCAATGCAAAATAGAGATAAAAGTTACATAAATGTAAAAAAAAATAGCGTGCCCATTTTGAGGATTGAAAAAGTGGAATAACTAAAGTGAAGATACCTTGCAGTAGGCATTTCTACTCCCAAATAGAGACTCTCAGTGAAACTGCTAAATATACCTCAATAAAATGTCAGATTTTTTGCCTTTGTCTATATCAACCATGCCATGTTGCACATGTGCAGCAAAATATTGAGCTTGCAACAGTTGCTGGGGGACTATACCGCTATAATACATTTGAAGGGGAAGATGGGAAGTGAGGTGGGAAGGGAAACTGAGAATCTCTGTGCCAAAAAAACTGTATCATAGAAAATAATAAAAGTATTTTTTAATTAAATTTCAAGCTTGTTCTAATTGAGCCCAAAACTACCTCAGGCATGTGCCCAAGGTTGCTAGAGCTACAAAGATGTCTCAGGGAGAGTCTAAAGAAATGACATTAACTGCATTGTAACCTATAATAAAACAATTAATGTGAGTCAGAATGCTTATGATCCACATCAAAGAACTGTAAAACCTAAAACACTCTTAATACCTTATGTTACTCCGTAATGGGGAGGGAATGCAGAGAAATCTTCCATCTCCCTAAAAAGTGAGAGGAAGACGTAAAATATAGCCTATCAGGATCAAATCTGATAACACACAGACAACAGACTCGAGTCGGGACTAGACAATAGTAAAGCTACACAGGCATAAGGGGGGAATCGGGAGCGATCCTGAAAGCCTCTTAACAGGAGGTCATGTGTATGGAGCAGGGGGGAGACCCCAGAGTGGAGCGGGAGGTCAGGAGGAGGCTCGCATCCCAACCCCGAAGACTCCCAGAT